GGACAAGTCCCCCCCACATTAAAAAACCATTCATTTGGACCCCCCACTTTTATTATAAAACATTAGTTCAGGCGGCGCAGTCTCTCTTTCTTCGTGAACAAATCCATTCCACTTGATTAATAGGAGAATACTCAAACCAGTAAAACTGCACTCCAGGTTTTCCTGGTTCCCTCCACCTCTCCACCGTCTCCTCCTGCCTCGGCAGAAACCGTGCACAGGTGGAGGAGATGGAGACACCTCTGTGTTACTCTCCAGTTTAGCAGCTTGGTGCGGGCAGTGGTTGAGCGGGGGTTGATCATCAACACATGTTCATGTTAGGAGGAGAGGAGCTGCGTCTGTAGCTTCTGGTCTCAGCAGTAAGTGTGAGACGCTGCAGGTGGAAGAGACGCTGTGTTCAGGTGCATTAAAGGTGAAACGTCTTTAACCCCACACCTTATTGTCCTCGAGCTTCATGACAAACATCATTTACATGAGGAGTGTTGAACACAAGTAAAGTCCAGTGTGGTTTTTATTTCTCTATAAACACAAATAGTGTCGACCTGACGCTCTGTGTTAAAGTGTATTAAAGTTCAAATGTCTTTAAACCCACAGATTAATTTACACAAACTTGGTGAGAAACATGTTTTAAATGTGTGGAATTAAAGGAGATCCAGGTGAAATGCTGCTTCTTTGTTCACTAGTGAACACCTTTTTTTACGTACGCACACACGTGCACACGCGCACCTACACTCATCATTGTGTCCCCCCACATTACGGATGCTTCTGACGCCCTTGACCCCGTGCACCGCTACACCCTAATTCTTATTATTATTATTCCTGTGCTCTGGTTGTTACACACTTGTATTTGTTAGTGGAGCGGTGCTGCCTCTGTGCTGGCGGCGTGTGGATTGTGGTGTAAACACTTTCAGCAGCTGTTGTTGTGTAAGTCGTGCAGCTGTGCATCAGTGGCAGTACAGGTGGGCTGTTAGCATTCACTGCTTGTTGATGAGTAGCTTGGGCTCCGTTTGAATGAAGGGGCCGTTTACACGGCGTGTATTCTGAGTGCATCCACAGCGTCCTCTCTGCGGTTCTGATGATCATCTACACGACACCAGTGCCCCCCCCCCCCCCCCCCCCTTTGAATCTGGAGGTTTCTGAATCCACCTTCCAGAGTGGAGGTTTTTCACTGACCCCCTGCTGATGATGTAAACACTGAGGCTTTGTGTTAAACCACATGCGCACACGCGGACAGAGCTATATTTCTATCAACATGGCGGCGGACACACTGCTTTCAGACCCTCGACTGATGGAATATATTTTAATCTCGTAGTTAATCTACGTCAGATTCAGGTGCTGTGACCGACATCTGTGTTGGAAGAGACACAGTCTGATCCAGTTCTAATGTCGCTGTTTATAGAACGAGGCATGCGCACACGTCGCGCTGCACTATAACATACTACATGTGCTAAATAACAACAGTTTAATAATAATAAACAGTATTTATGTTAGTGTGAAATATAATGAAGCTCTGAACTAAATGAAGCTATGTGGACATGATGTAATTCAAATTTAAAATGATGCTAAACATAAAGCGTGAACACTAAAGTTGAAAATGAAGACAGCAGGTTTAATTTTTATTTATTTATTCAACACCACAAACTGTATGTCACACAAACACTGATAACTGGACTCTAGTTTTCATCCGGTATGGATGTCCCACGTTGTTCATGTGGCTCGTTCAGGCTGTCACTCCTTTGATTAATGCAGCTAAAACATTCAATGGATCCAATAAAAGAACTGAGGAGAATTTTAAATAAATAGTTCATCAACATCTCTCTTCCACGTCCTCCTGCACTGCTCCTGGGCCGAGCCTCGTTCAGAACTGGTCCGCCTGGTGGGAGGACAGCTTCTTCTTTTTTCAGGAAAATATAAAAATAAAAACTCTGTTGTTGTGTGATTGAAGTAAACACAAGCTAACATTATTAAGAACGTTGATTTATCTGCTGTAAATCAGCTACTGATGATCACGGAGTAAAGTCCTCATCGTCAACTCGGTTCTGGTCCACTCAGCGACCGGTGTGGAGCTGTTAGATGAAGCGGTCCTGCTTGGCATCAAATCTGTTGACTCTTATCCAGAATCCAGCTTTAACTTGTTGTTAAGTTGTTGTTAGCTGAGCTTTTAGCCCAGAGGAAAGGAGCGTGTCGAGGCAGCAGCATGCACATTAGGTGAAGGTACATAATTCACAACACCATCTAATGACCCGGCACGGTAACTACAGCGGATTCAGTGCGGCGGGGACGATTCCTCCAGATGCATGTAAACATAAAGTCCGACCGTGTCAACGCAGATCTTTTCCACTAATTAACATATGAAAAAAACCTACGTTTCCCCCATCGTGTCCGTGTAAATAGGGCCTCAGTCTCAAGTTATTTGGGCGTGTTATTTACTTGCAGAATGTTTTTGTTTGTTCCACTCTGATTTATTTCCTTCCTTCTTAGTGGGGGATTTTGACAAGATCTGGCGCGAGCACTGTGAGGACGAGCAGACGCTGAGCGAGTATGCCCTCGCCATGAAGAACCTCGCAGACAACCACTGGACGAAGAACTGCGAAGGAGAAGGCCGCATCGAATGGTGTCGTAGGTGTGACGCATCTCCAGGCTTCACTAGGAGCATATTTGTGGTTTCCCTCTGATGGTTTGATTCATGTTTTCATTTTGCTCCCACAGTATCTGTCAAGAGTATTTCCTGGATGGCGGGATGAAAAGAATGTTAGACAAGGATGAGAAAAGTGCCACACTGGCCATGAGTCAGACTGCAGCCTCTGTTTGTGCTCAAGCGCACAGCACCATCCCCAGGTAGGGTTAGGTAAAAACTGTTATTTATATTTACATACAGTAGTCCCTCGTTTATCACGGGATCTGTACCCTGAAGGCCCGCGATAACTGAAAAACCGCCAAGTGCTTCGGTGCTTGGACGCCCCCTGGACCCAGGTCAGGTGGTAGGAGACAGAAGGACTCCAGCTAAAATAACATCGTTGCTGGACAACGTCTCCACCCCATGAAGCTGCTGCTGAACTGGAGAGCTCGTTCAGTGACAGATTACTGCATCCTAAATGCACAAAGGAGCGTCACCGCAGGTCCTTCCTCCAGCAGCTGTTAGACTCTACAACCATCACTGCTCCAACAAACTCTATAAGGATTAAATACATGCTGACCTCTGCTAAAACACACTCTGCCTATAACACTGTACTGTCAATACTCTGTCCTTATCAATGTTCCAATACATATTGAACATTATTATTGATATTGTTTATCTTCTTTCTTTATATATTGTATTGTTTATTAACATTTAGGAACTTTTGTGTGAATCTTTTTATCTTTTTATCTGTTGCTGCTGATACACTTGAATTCCCCATACTTGTGTAGTGAACTAAGCCTCAGGTCAAAACCTGGACCTTCCTGGGACAGGAACTGTTATTTCATTGATTTGAGTCCAGAAACACAGATTAAGTTCCATCCAGAGACTTTCTAAGTGTGTCCTGCACGGATCAATTGAAAGAACACTCTCTTTCATATTATCATTACTATTTTACAAATGTCTTGATAATCAAAAGTGTGTTTAGTTCAAACCATTTTAAATGTTGAAGTGAACTACTCACTTTAAATCAACTGTGAAACAGTATAAATGATTTTTAATCCTCATTCAAAGTAGAAATCAAGTTAATGTCTGTTACAAGAGTAATTATGCATTTTTTTGATCTTCTGCCTGAAATGAGCAAGTTGTGATATCGGTCAAAAGTGAAAGAACGGTCAAAAACATGTTTATCGGAACAAAATTTCATGTTTAACTTTTTCAGATAGATAGAAGAAGACTGGCTCCTAAATGTCTCTGTTCTTCAAAACATCTTTCTGTCTGTTCTTAAACATCTACGCTTTCTCCTTGACTTTTAATGACCCTCTTACGTCACTAAAACCACACCCCGGTTGGTTCGTTCAACCAATCAGGAAGTTCCCAGAAGGAACCGGAAGTGACCTCTTTAAAAGGGTCGACACTTCCTAGTTCCGAGCAGAACAAAGTTCCGAGCTAAACAAAGTTCCGAGCTGAACAACGTTCCAGAGAGAACCAGAGTTCCAGGGAGAACCTCGAACGAGAAGCTCCGAGGAACAGAAGTTCAGGGCAGTTTCTAATGGAGTGACGAGAGTCCGTCGATGGCACGACGTCTCGCTGTGGCTCTACCCGACGAAAGCTCTGAACAATGAGGAAGTCTGTTCAGTGATGATCTCACGACTCCTGAGGTCTCTGCTATCCTTACGGAGACGCTGAAAAGCGTTGAAAGGCAACTCTACCCCGAGGCCGAACTATCGTCTGCAAAGGTAAAAGAGTCGATCTTCAACTGCGAAGTGTACCGTGGGTTAAGCTGCGTCCAAAGGAGCGTGTTTCTGGTTATAACAGACACATTCCCTCACCCATCTCTCTCCATTCAAACTCCTTCATTTTCCCATCTTTAAAACTCTTCTATCTGCCAGTAATTAATCCAGATATTTTCAGAAATGTCTGTTGGTTTCAAAAGCTGCAAGTGAGAAAATCATGGCCGTATGATTTTCTCAGTGCAAAGCTCATTAATTAAGCTGTGTTATTGTAATCAATCTGCCAATTATTGTAAATGTGTGATGTGTTTAAATCGTTTTTTAAATAAACGACCCACTGTTGTTGGTGAGTCAAAGATAAAAACACGTTTCCGTCCACATTTAATCATTCAAGGCACTATAGTACTCAGTCCAGAAAAATGAAAGAATCTGTTTAAATTATGGATAATATCAGACAGGTATTATTTCATTACACTTGGGACAATAAAGGCTGTTTCTATTCTATTCTATTCTATTCTATTCTAAGTAGGAATAGTAGTACAAGAAGTAGTAAGTAATATTTTATTATATATATTTATACAGACCCTTTCCAAAAAAATTAGAATGTCATGGAAAAGTTGTTTAACTTCCATAATTCCATTCAAAAAGTTAATCTGTAATAGATGATAGATTCATGACTCGCAATTTAAACAATTTCAAGTATTTATTTGTTTATTTTTACATAATTTGGGCTTCCAGCTCATGAAACCCACGAAAACAGGCATTCAAAAAATGAGAATGATGTGGTGCAACTGGTAGAGCTGCTGCCTCTCAGCGAGCAGGTCCCTGGTTCAAACCCCGGTCCAGGGTCTTTCTGGGTGGAGTTTGCATGTTCTCTCCGTGCATGCGTGGGTTTTCTCCGGGTGCTCCGGTTTCCTCCCACAGACCAAAAACATGCATGTTAGGCTGATTGGTAACTCTAAATTGTCCCTAGGAGAGAGAGTGAATGGTTGTTTTATGTTTCAAAACAATATGTCAACAACAGAAAACAGGAATTCCAAAAATTAGAATGTGAAGCCATCAGTCCACACTACTTCTCAGTGTTTGCAGAAAAAATGAAATAAATTAGTATCACAACAAATCAATCAAAATATGGTACTTTCAAAACAATATGTCAATCTTCAGTACTTGGTTGTGAATCCCTTTGCTTTAATCTCTTCCTCGATGTGACGTAGCATTGAGCCTGTGGTGTCGACTGGGAATTATGGAAGCCCAGATTTCCTTGATGCTGTCAGCTCTTCTTTGTTGTTGGCTCTGGTGCTCCTCGTGTTCCTCTTGAGAAGACCCCATAGATCTCAGTGGGGTTTAGGTCCAGTGAGTTGGCTGGCCAGACAAGCACTGTGGCATCAAACCAGGTTCTGGTGCTTCTGGCAGCATGGTCAGGGACCAGTTCCTGCTGGAAGATTAAATCTGCATCTCCATACAGATCCTCAGCAGAAGGAATCATGAAGTTCTCTAAAACATTCTGGTAGACTGTTGCAGTGACCTTGGATTTAAGAAAGCAGAGTTTACCAACACCTGCACCGGACACTGCACCCCAAATCATGACTGACTGTGGATGTTTCACACTGGACCTCAAGCAGTATGAACTCTGTTCCTCACCCTTCTTCCTCCAAACCCTTGGACCTTGATTTCTGAATGAAAGACACACTTTACTTTCATCAGAAAAGAGGACCTTGGACCACTGGCCAACGGTCCAGCCCTTCTTCTACTTGGCCCAGTTGAGACGCTTCCTATGTTGGCTCAGGTTCTGAAGTGGCTTGACCCGAGGGACCCGACAGTTGTAGCTAGAGCTGGGCAATATGGGCCAAAATTAATATCTCAATATTTTAAGATAAATCGCGATATACGATATATATCTCAATATTTTTTCTTTCCATACAGTAATAACAAAAATATATTTGAGTCAAAGTTTTGTCCCAGTTGTCACAGCCACATTTATTAACAACAGCTGTAACTGTGCAAAATAAATGCCTAAAAACTAAACTAAAAATAAACTATTTACATTTACTAAATAGTTTATTTTTTAGACATATATTTAAATACATTAAATTAGGGCTGGACAATATGGTCAAAACATTTATCACGATATATTTCTTAGTTTCAGTCGAAAACTATATAATTTGATATCGATATGAACAATAAAAAGAAGAAGAATTGTATGTAATGTCCTCAGAAGAATTGTACAAACTGTACAAATAAATTAATGTTCACTTTTTATTTGTATATAGCCTTCAAAAAAAATTTGTTATCACAGTCAATTCAATTCAGTTCAGTTTATTTATAAAGCACTAAATCACAACAAGTTGTCTCAGGGAGTTTACAGGAACATTCACATAAAAGCCAGTTAGTAAAGTTCTCTATCTAAGGAATCCAGCAGACAAGTTGAATCTTGGCTTCGTTGCAGTCTCCCATCCTGAGCAAGCACAGTGGAGACAGTGGAAAGAAAAACTCCCTTTAACAGGAAGAAACCTCCAGCAGAACCAGGCTCAGGACAAGAGACCATCTGCTTTGACCGGATGGTTGAGAGGACAGGAAGGAGAGACAGACGAACACAGAATGGTAGGTCCAGGTATAAGTCCAGGTCCAGGTATAGGTCCAGGTCCAGATATAGGTCCAGATATAGGTCCAGGTCCAGATATAGGTCCAGGTCCAGATATAGGTCCAGGTGTACCTGAAAGACAAACACATGTTAAGGATAGAAAAATAATTACAAATACAAAACAGGTTGAGCAGAGTAAGTAAAGACAGCAACAGAGTGAAAAGTGTGGTCAGTTTGTCCTCCAGCAGTCTAAGCCTATAGCAGCAGAACTAAGGGACAGCTCAGGAAACACAAGCTGACCCTAACTATAGGATTTATCAAACAGGAAAGTTTTAAGCCTAGTTTTAAAACTGGATAATGTGTCAGCCTCACGGACAGAGATTGGAAGTTGGTTCCACAAGAGAGGAGCCTGATAACTAAAAGATCTGCCTCTCATTCTGTTTTTGTAAATTCTAGGAACCACAAGTAAACCTACAGTCTGAGAGCGAAGTGCTCTGTTAGGAAAATATGGAACAATAAGATCTGTAATATAAGATGGAGCTAGGTTGTTGAGAGCTTTGTAGGTTAGAAGTAAGATTTTGAATTCTATTCTGGATTTGACAGGGAGCCAATGGAGAGAAGCTAAAACTGGAGAGATATGATCTCTCCCAGTAACTCCAGTTAAGACTCTGGCAGCAGCATTTTGGATCAACTGAAGACGTTTTAAAGAAGTATTTGGACACCCAGACAATAAACCATTGCAATAGTCCAGTCTAGACGTGACAAATGCATGGACCAGTTTTTCTGCATCATTTTTAGACTAACACTTTTAGATTTACATTTTTAGACTAACACTTCCGGCGAGCTGATGGACAGCAGCTCCCTCCGGCTTCTCTGCAGTCTTTTATCATCAAACTGACCCGTTTTT